ACACACATATGGTGCAAATTTTTCCTTTCTCACGTTGGTTAATTAGTTCATACCTTAATAGTATATCTTTTGATCATCACATAAAACAAACAAAGGAGTTGAAATCAATGCCTCGCAGCTGCTTTTTTTTCCATACTCGCTTTGATTAATAACTCTAACTTAGGATCAGGGGCGGATCCAACAAATAGAATGAGGTGGGGCCAAAATTTTTTGATAATTGAAAACCGATAAAAAAAAATTGGCAATAAGACATACAAAATCACAATTATATATAAATCTTAATATTCCTTAAATAATTCAATATGAAATATTAAAATACCCCACTATTTGTATATTTCAGTACTATTATTCATTCTTTTCTTTTATGACATAAAATGATTTACTATCAATACAAAATTATTCATCTACCAATTGCAAATATTGTACATACGCAAACTCTATGCTGTTGGGAAATTCTGCAAGGGTGATTAATCAATCACATGTCATACAATTTATATGTCAATCTTAAAATATTATTAATACTCGTAGTGGGTAAGAGAGCGATAATATTTTTCAATATATTGGATGGAAGAATTTGTATAACTCCATCACTTAGTTGATTTCATTTTTTACGCGAATTTTTATTGGCAATAATTTTTCAATCTAACAATTATTGTAATAGTATGCAAAGTCATGATATATTTTTTTACAAATACAATGGATAAATAAAACATAGCAATAAGAAAATTTAATATGAAAGGAAAAAGAAAAGACCTACTTAATAAACAACTTTATTTATAAATTATTTTGTAAAATTACTCAATTTATACTTCTATTTTCAAAAATCATGTAGTAAAAATATAAGAGCATGTTTGTTTATGAAAAATTTTTGTTTTGTTTGAGATTTTTGGTTTGGTTTAGTTAATTTTGAAAAAGGTGATATGGTTAGTTGTTAGCGGGTATATAAAATAATATTTAAAATAAAATAATTAAAATAATTTGATGTAAAAGTATGAGAGAGATGATTTGATGTGATAGTTAGTTAAAATAATGTGAGTGGATGAATAGTGAATTAAGATTGATGTGGTGTGTATTAATGATTGATTGATATTATTTAATTATATTGAATAGTGGGGTTGAGTTAAAGTTGAGTTAAAAAAAATGAATGAGTTAAAATATTGAAATTGTTTTTGAAAATTTTCATACACAAACATGTTCTAAAACTCCAGGTGGGGCTTAGGCCCTACCTGGAAGGGCTATGGATCCGCCCCTACTTAGGATACCCTTCGATTACATAGGAAAACAAGAGTTAAAACCAGTGTCTTGAGTCTGCTCTTTTCTAATATCATGATGATTAATAGTTATCACCTCGGGATACCTTTTGATCACATAGGAAAACAGAGAAGTTGAAATCGAAGTCTTGAACCAACAAGGGTTGGCTCAAGTGGTAAGCAGCTTGATGTCGCTTAAGCAAGGTCTCGGGTTCGAGTCATTGTGAATGCAGAAAACCCTTGTTGGGAGACTCACCCACCATTGCTAGGTGTGCGACCGGGTCGACCAACGAATTAGTCGGGGCAAAGCTCCGAATACCATGACTGGCTACAAAAAAAAAAAAAATGGGAATCAAAGTCTTGAGGCTGCTCTTTTCATGCATGTAAAAAATATATTTTTTAGAATACATATATAAGTAACCACAAGTCACATATGTGTGATATTCAAAGAGTTTATGATGCACTAGTTAGGATCATGATTGCATGAAGATATTAAGGTCAACACAAAATCTTCTCAAAAATCTATATCGATCTTGAATTCGACACAACTTAATTTACCTGATAAACGCGTAACGTGCACCAGTGTCGAAAAGAGAGAATTTAAGTCCTATATATTGATTTGTCTAGTGGACAAAGACATAAGAGAAGTGGAAGACTATAACTAATTAAGTAGGAGCCATGAAAGCTAGTACTCATGTTCCCGCTCTTTATCTTCGCCTGTTTGTGTTGGTACTTCTGCTCAGCCACGCATTTGCCGTCAAGAAGGTAAGCATGTCTGCATTTGCCGTCAGGAAATCTTCCCAAAAATTAATGAACAAAATATACTTGATTCTAGAGGAAAATTAATGACTGTTCCTCGCCAAAATTCACAATGCGCCACGAATGATCATAACCTTTTTGTTCCACTGGTTCTAGTCATAACATGGTTGTTTTGTCTGCCTTTTTTGAATCTTCGACCAAGTGGCTAAATAAATATTTTTTAGACGTTCGGATCAGGAAACATGTTATGTTGGTGAAGGGAAACAAAAATAGATATTTCACACTGATAATGATTTTAATAACAGAACTTTGAATCTTACACTTGTGTGTCTTTTCACCTAATTTTCCTTGATGTTATATTTTCTTTTTCTTGGTCCCATTGTAGTCATATGTGGTGTACTTGGGAGCTCATTCACATGGAAAAGAAGCCACACAAACTGATTATGATCGAGTCACTCAGTCTCATTACGACTTTCTCGGGACATTCTTGGGAAGGTACGGAAATGAAGTTCGTGCAGAAATCATAAAAATAAAAATGGAGTTTTGTAGTTCAAATTTCTCATTTTCTTGATAAAAATATTGATCCATTATTGTCTTCAATCTTTTTATACAGTACGGACAAGGCCAAAGCTGCCATTTTTTACTCTTACACCCGACACATCAATGGATTTGCTGCAACTCTCGAAGAAAATGAAGCACTTCAAATATCCAGTAAGTAGTTTTATCAATAGTCACATTATTATTTTCTTTTTATTACAAACTTGGTTCTAATAACTATGTTCAATGTATTGCATGAACATTCTCAGATCATCCAAAAGTTATATCCGTATTCTTGAATCAAGCAAAAATGTTACAAACAACGAGGTCGTGGAGTTTTCTCGGTCTCGAAAATGTCAACGGACAAATTCATGCCGACTCTTTGTGGAATAAGACCAAAGGTGAAGGTGTCATCATCGGCAATATAGACACGGGTTTGTTTCCTTATAACCTCTCCAAAAGTATCATTTACACTTTGATATGCATATGTTTATGTTATATGCAAGGAGAACTACATATTCTTGTCCATTCATATATATGATAATAAAAATTGTGTTTGAACCAGGCGTGTGGCCAGAATCGAAAAGCTTTAGCGACGAAAGAATAATCGGTCCGATTCCATCAAAGTGGAAAGGGGAATGCTCAAATCACTTCGATCCCACATTTCGATGCAACGGGTTTGTAAATTGAAAACTAAGTTTCAACTTTCCAACACTTGGTTACAAAATGTATATGCGTTTGATTTTTCGATATGCATGAAGGAAGTTGATCGGTGCCCGCTACTTCAACAAGGGGTACATTGCGGCCGGGGGACGCCTCAAACGCACCGACAACTCGCCGCGCGACAATGAGGGCCACGGGACCCACACCCTGTCAACAGCTGGCGGCAACTTTGTTTCTGGGGTCAACTTCTATGGCCTCGGCAACGGCACCGCCAAGGGCGGGTCCCCCATGGCTCGCGTGGCAGCCTACAAGGTCTGTTGGCCGCCCCTAGACGACTATAGCCAGTGCTTGGATGCCGACATCCTGGCGGCCTTCGACATGGCCATACACGATGGGGTCGATGTGCTCTCGGTCTCCCTCGGTGGAATAACTCCACCGCTACCCTTTTTCAACGATTCGACCGCTATCGGGTCATTTCATGCGGTGAGTCATGGGATCACGGTCGTATTTGCAGCCGGTAATTTCGGGCCCAAGCCAAGTACGGTTGGCAACACTGCGCCTTGGGAGATCGCGGTTGGCGCAAGCACCATTGATCGGAACTTTCCTAGCTATTTAATGATCGAGAACAAGCAATACGAGGTAAATATGTTTATATTCAGTGAACAATTGAAAGTTAAATAACCAAATAGACATTAGTGTGATAAAGTAGTAGTTGATGCGTAGGGGCAAAGCGCTTCAGGCCAATATCTTCCAGAGGGAAAGGTGTTCCCGATAATGTATGCGAGATATGCAAATGCCGCTAACGCAACACGGGAACAAGCGTAATTTTTTCTCCTTGAGGAACATGATTTTACTCAACTAATTTTGTAAAGGTTGAAATATGAATGAAATATACGATTATGGGATAAAATGCAGGGAGATGTGTGAACTCGGATCTCTGGATGCTAATAAGGTGACAGGGAAGATTTTTTCTGTCTAAGGGGAAGCATTTTCAGGGTCGACAAGGGCAGGGCAGCCGCCTTAGCTGGTGCGAAGGGAATGGTTTTAGCAAATGATGAGGCCTCTGGGAATGATATCATAGCAGAGGCTCATGTCTTGCCAGCTTTACATATCAGTTACAAAGATGGACTTGCTCTTTTAACTCAAATGAATAAAACAAGGTGAACAAAATCACATATATAGCTATCTTTCACCACATGCTTCTGTAAAATAAAATTGTCGAAAAATATGATGGCAAAGCAGGTCTCCTACTGCTCGTATCACCAGGCCAATAACTCGTTTAGATGCAAAGCCAGCGCCAGTAATGGCAGGTTTTTCATCGCTAGGGCCAAATCCTACTATGCCGGAAATTCTTAAGGTTTTGAGTAGTACTGAACTCTTGTAATTTCTTGTTTAATTAATTAGTTATATTATATGTCTTAATTACAGTTTTCTTATTCTCAGCCGGATATCACAGCACCAGGAATTGGCATCATAGCCGCGTTCACTGAATCAGTAGGACCGACAGGCCAAGACTATGACACCCGACATGTGAAGTTCAATGTCGACTCAGGTACCTCAATGTCCTGCCCACACGTTGCTGGGGTCGTTGGCCTCTTGAAGACACTCTATCCAAATTGGAGCCCGGCTGCCATTAAGTCTGCTATCATGACCACTGGTGATTACCTAAATTAATTAAGTCACGAATCATTAGTAACAAACATGGATGCCTATGAATAATTCAAAAGAAATCACAAGAATAATCATTTGTTGTGTACCATTTTTTTTTTTTTTTTAATTTGTTTATTTCAGCAAGTACAATCGACAACACTTGGCACTCAATCACCAACAACAGCAACTCGAAAGCTACACCGTTCAATTATGGAGCAGGACACATTGATCCAAACCAGGCAATGGACCCTGGACTCGTTTACGATGTAGGAACAACAAATTACCTCAACTTGTTATGCACACTCGGGTATAACCAAACACAGATTAACTTGTTCTGGGATAAATCATTCACTTGTCCCAAGCCGAATATTAGACTCATCGACTTCAACTACCCCTCGATCTCAGTTCCCAACCTCAGGGGCCCAGTCACTGTGACCAGGAAGGTAAAAAATGTAGGTCCACCGGGCACTTACAAAGCCTCTGTTTGTAGCCCAGATGTAATATCGATACAAATCGAACCGGATAAGCTGGAATTTAAGTCGGTTGGGGAGGAGAAAGGATTCAACATTAAAATACAGCCTAATAAAAATGGTGGTAGCAAGGGTTATGTATTTGGGAAGCTGACATGGTCTGACGGTCAGCATAAGGTGACGAGTCCAATCGTTGTTAAGCAGATATAGAAGAAAATCGGCTTTTCTGGAGATGGAGTCCACACAAGGCGTTTCTCAAACATGCCAATTGACTATCTCAAGGTCTATCTATTGGATTTCCTTTTTCTTTTTCTTTTTCTTTTTCTTTTTCTTATGTTGGATGAACATTATGAAGTCATATGTACATGCTTGGTAATGTTTGGATTTTTCTTCTTTTTTTGCTCAAAGGATGTAACCAACTCAAAACATTTGAATACTACGCACTAATCGTTTTCAATATCATCTTATTACCAGGCCAAACAAATACAATGTGTCGGGTGTTGATAATCGGATATTGGCCGAACAATGTGGTTCAGTAGACTTGTAATTAAACGGACTCGTCGTCAAACAGGCTCGACATAAGCTATGAAAATATGTGTAGCAGTTATAGATTATAGATTTTGTGAAACTTAAGAAAAAACTAATAGGCTCTAGGTACCATGAAGAAATTAATGTTCGAAAATATCTCAACAATCAAATGGTACTTTCATTAAACTGAAAATCAGATTCAAACGTACAAACCGCACCCCTATTTATACCGCCAAGTTCAAATATATTTCTAAGAGTGAAATTAACGACACCGTTTCAGTAACTAAAAGACGCAAACAAGGAAAATAAAGCTAACTTATCATTAAACACGATTTCAATAGAAATAAGGAAATCTATATATTTAAAAAAAAAGGTTGTTGGAAAATTCATTTTTGGAAAGCTAAAAAAAACAGTCAACACGTTGACTTTCTAATTGTGGAAATTTTCAAAAAATCTGGGTTTTTTTTTTTTTTTGTTGTTACGTTACATAATTACCGGGGTTGGATAACTAATGGGATTGCATAATTATTGTTGTATTGCAAAATTTCACGCGCTTGAACATCTAACAGAATTCAATTCATAATTATCATCAATCAATCTTGGTTAATATTTTACCAATATCTTTCCATTTTTTCGGTCAATACAAATGTGCAAATTTTTTTTTTTTACTACAATTCTATATATGATGAAAAATGTTATAATTAGTTGGCATGATTGTTTGTTGACAAAGTTAACTATTTCAATAGCAAACTTCTGTTTTTTGAATCCTTTTTCTTCTGTGAAAACAAATCTTTTAAAATAAAATTAAATAAATTCCAACATCTAAAAAAAACAACAAAATTGATAAATACAAGATCATGTCAAGCGATACTAATCTAATTAATTGAACATATGCCCAAACTAAAATACAAGATAATAGTGTAATCAGTAAATTAAAAAAAAAAACGAACATATAGCACCACAGATCTATAAAATCCGATTGAAGCGAAGGTCGAACATCGAAGAAAAACAAAAAAAAATAATAAAAAAAGTACATTTAACCTTTGTATAGATCCCGACCATCTCTCACTCCGGATCATGAGTATGACACACAAACCAATAGTATGAAACAAACAAAGCCCCGATCGGTTAACAAACAAAGCACTCAAATCGTCAAAAACAAACAAAGCCCCAAAGACAACAAACAAATCCCTCAAATCGTATGAAACAAACCAGATCTACATAAATTAGAAACTCCAGTTATAATATATATATATGTTTGATCTACAAAAATTAGAAAATACAAAAGAGTTGAAAAAAAATCGACGAGGTGAAGATTCTGAAGAGAGAATTTTTCGGAGAAGAAATGAAACCCTAAAACCAAAAATTACAATATATATGTTTGATGGATTAATTCTAATCATGCGATCATTATTTGTGGCAAAATTATGGTCATTGGATGATTAAGGGGACACACATATGGTGTTTTGCATCTGGCCCAATTATATATATGCTTTCGTCATGGGCCAAATGTTTTTTCTGCTTCTAAGTCTTAGTCTACGGGCCATATGAATTAATTGGCCGTTTACCGCTAAAAAATATATATATATATATATATATATATATATATATATATATATAATTGACCCGTTTAATTTAAATAAACATAAGAATAATTATTCTTAATTATGTTAATGGACCGAATAAGTCCATTTATGTTTAAAAATGTTATTTGGATGCCTATTTTATTGAGATTTTTTTTGTCGACTAATGTGTTTAATACAAATTATAATATTTTTAACTTGACCTACTTTATATAACTTGAACATGTTATATAATATGTTTGTTCATACTAATCATTCTGTGCGTATTATTGTGAAAAAAAATTGTGATTTTTATATTAATTAGAAGTTTATTCCATAGATTTTTTTAATACACTATATTTTATAAATTAATTACAATTCATATTGATAAATGTTGTTGTTTGAACCTTGCATATATAGGTATTGTGAATCTCAATTTTTGCACTGGATCAAGTGTTAGTGAAAGACAGATGACAATCTTATCTGAAAGTTCATCTAATGCTTCAAATCGTATGCCCTTCAGTGATATTACAAATGATATTTTCATTTCTATCTTAGTTTATATACAGATCATAATATTATCACCTTCATTATTATGATATTTTATTGGGTACTTAAATATTCGCTTAATTTGCTTTATTATAAATAAATAGGTCAGCGTGAGCAAAGTGAAGAAAACTGAAAAAATTCCAGTGTTCTCGGATTGAAAAGCATCGCGATAGACATCTTGAGTGATCCTTCAATTGATTCTTCTAACAAGGACAAACCATTTGGCGGCAAAACATTTGTGTTTGGTGGAGATTTTCGACAAATTCTTCATGTCAACCGAAGAGTAGCCGTCAGGACATAGTGAATGTTGCGATTAATTCTTCTGATATCTGGAGGAGTTGTATTGTGCTTCGGCTTACTAAAAACATGTGTCTTCAAAGCCTTACAAAGTTGCTCTGTTCGCAGAATGGATAGCGCGCATTGAAGATGGAATCATAGGAGGGTCTAACAATGGTTGTGCAATGGTAGACATACCTGGGGATATATTGCTTGAGCCATCTGATGATTCGATTGCCCAAATTGTAGAAAACACGTAACCAAAATTTAAACAGGAAACCGATGATCCCAGTTACTTAAAGGACAGGGCAATATTAGCGCCGACACTAGATGTTGTTGAACCTATCAATGAGTACATGACGTCGTCGAACTTATCTGACGGTCGGACGTACTTAAGTTCCGATACTACTTGCAAGTCAGACTCTAATAATGATTTTCTGGCTGATATCCACACTCCCAAATTCTTAAATAGTATCAAATGTTACGGGATACAAAATCATCAGTTGCATTTGAAGATTGAACCTCCCGTCATGTTGTTGCGTAACATGGATCATTCTATGGGTCTATGCAATGGGACGCGATTGGTGGTCACAAAACTCTCCACTCATGTTTTCGAGTGTAAGATTCTAACTTGGGATCACGTAGCGAGAAGGTGTTGATTCCTAGAATGGTTATAACTCTTTCCGATGTCCAAATTCCTTTCAAGTCTCAGAGGCGTCAGTTCCCCATTATGGTATCGTACGCCATGACTATCAACAAGAGCCAATGACAATTGTTATCGCATGTTGGTTTATTTCTTGAGAAGCATGTGTTCAGCAATGGACAGTTATACGTTGCTGTCTCCCGTGTCACCAACCGAAGTGGGTTGAAAATATTAGTTTGTGGTGATGATGACTCGCCGCCAAATCAATCGTGTACAAAGAAGTTTTCAATAATTTATGAATTTTTTAATTTTCGCCCAACGTATTTACTTTTGTTACAAACATAACAAGTTCATTAAATTTAATATTTAATACTAATTAATATTTAGAAATATGCCATCCCGTGCATCGCACGGGTAGTTACTAGTAATAAAGAAAAACGACATACATATGAGGGAAAAATTTCAAAACACGTCCCACATGGAGGTGACATTTTTTGTCCCAACGGAATGCAGAAAATATGGATAGTCTCACAATTTTTTAAAAATGATCAGAAGTAGGACTTTTTTTGCCGGATTTACTATTTTCGGCCTGGAACGGCACGTCGCGTACATGTGGCTTATTTTTTACACGATGGATTTTTTTTTACACGCTGGCATCCGACGTGTACATATTCTTTTACAAGTTGTGGGACTATTCATATTTTCTGCATACCTGTGGGACCAAAAATGTCACCCCCTCTATACCTGTGGGACTAGTATTGATTTTTTCCTTATCTACATCGGATGCCAGTGTGTAAAAAAATAAGCCACGTGTGCGCGACGTGGCGTTCCGGGCCGAAAATAGTAAATCCGGCAAAAAAAAAAGTCCTACTTTTGATCATTTCTAAAAAGTTGTTGGACTATTCATATTTTATGCATTCCGTTGAGACCAAAATTGTCACCGCCTATACCTATGCGACTAGTTTTGAATTTTTCCCTATGAACGATCTGCTGCATGAGAACAAATCTGCATGGCCGTAGAATTCAACAACTAGCAAAAAAATGGGCGGTTACAAAAGAATGAAGGCTTTGTTGAGATTCCTGCAGCTCAACAAAGCCCGGAAGATCCCAATTGGTTCCAGCGGGTACTTATTAGTGTACCATCTTAATTTCTTAATGTTTATCACTCATTTCGGGATGTCCCCAGAGGGGGAGGATAGATGTAATTTAGAAGAAAGCGGGAGGATTTACGCGTCGAGCATCTTTTTTCCACCCAATATTCTATACTCGACGATCATCTCATACATAAGCTACAAATTTCAGAATTTCTTGTTTGGACTCGGAAAATTTGCTTATTTTCTGATGTAGGGAAGCATACGAGTGGGACGATATTAATGAGATCTCAATCTCAAGAACATCAAAACACGATATAATTCATATTTTATTCATAAACAACCCAGAAAAATAAACTAGAGGGAGTCCTTTATATAAGGCTCCTAACCCTAATATTAACTTGTCCACCAAACTATTAAATAATAATAATAATAATAATAATAATAATAATAATAATAATAATAATAATAATAATAATAATAATAATAATAACAACAACAATCCTAATCTACACCATTCTCCCCCGGTTTGGAAGGCTTCGCGCTCGAAGCCGATGCGCA